AACATTTTTGCTTTCCGTTAATTTTTGAATTGGTAAGTTTCGTCAGGGCGTGAAGAAATAGAGCGGAGTATCATCAGCATAACAGTGAAAACTAATGCCATGCTTCCTAATGCTATCTCCTAATGGTAGCATATACAGAGTGAACAGCAGTGGTCCTAGAACTGAGCCTTGTGGTACGCCATACTGAACTTGTGATCAATAAGACATCTCTTCATTTACTGCTACAAACTGATGATAATGGTCAGATAAGTATGATTTAAACCATGATAATGCAATTCCACTAATGCCAACATAGTTTTCTAGTCTATTTAAAAGAATGTTGTGGTCAATTGTGTCAAATGCAGCACTAAGACCAAGTAACACTAATAGAGAGATACAACCACGATCGGATGATAAGAGCAAATCATTTGTGACTGATGAGAGCTGTCTCAGTACTATGGTACTATCCAAATCCTGACTGAAAATCCTTGGAGAAACCATTTCTTTCTAAAAAAAGGAACACAGTTGTGAAGATACTGCCTTTTCTAGAAAAGGTAGATTCGAGATCAGCCTGTAATTGACTAATTCTGTAGGATCAAGTTGCCTTTTTTTTTAACAAGCGGTTTAATCATAGCCGGCTTAAGTTTTTGGTGCATACGTATCCTAATGACAAAGATGAATTCATGATATTAAGAAGAGTATCTATGACCTCTGGAAACATCTCTTTGAATAGCTTAGTCGGTATAGGGTCAGACATGTTGTCGATTTAGATGATTTAACAAGAAAATTCTTCCACCCCTACAGCAATGAATGAATCAAATTTTTCCTCAGGGAAACTACAATGCACTGCCTGGTGCAATATTGTAGTAGATGGTAGGATAGCTATAATTTTCTTCCTGATATTATCAAACTTGTAAGTAAAGAAGTTCATAAAGTCATTACTGCTGTGCTGCTTGGAAACATCTGGGATTGAAGCTTTATTTTTCATTAATTTAGCCGCTGTTTCAAATAAATACCTAGGGTTTTGTTTATTTTCTTCTAATAGGGTTGAAAAATAAGGGCCTTATCTAATAGGGCCTCCCTGTACGCAACCGTGCTCTCTTTCCATGAAATGCGAAAAACAAAAACAAAGTTGTGCTCAATTTTGTGTTCGTTGTACCACGGCGTTGGACTATTTTCTTTAATCTTCTTTAAGCGCAAAGGAGCAACTGTGTCTAAAGTGCTGGAAAAGACAGAGTCAAAAGAATCTGTCACAATATCGAGTTCTTCTAAGCTATCTGGGATGCTGAGGAGATGAAACTGATCAGGAAGATTATTAATAAAGCGATCTTTAGTTTAGTTAAGCTATCTAAATTGTACAATATTTGTGTAACAGAGTCGGCTTTGCAGCTTTGGCTAAATGCAGTATACACAAGACTAGATGACGTGAGATGTGTAATTATGTTACATTAGAGTTCTTCAAAAGGGAGGGGTCTCAAATCTAAATTTTACTGAAAAAAATAATGAAAATATATTATGGATTAAATTGATTATTCTTTGTGTACTGAGACCATTTGTCCGCCACCACCTAAGACCATTTCTGACAATATGAAAGAAAATATCTGTAGCTGCTTCCATTAAAATAGTGATTAATGTAATATGTTTAATGAACCAACAACGAACAATTTTTTGCAGCATTTAATTTGTGGCATAAACTAACTGTAAAAATTAATGTTAAATTATACTTAAAACATTAAAAAAATGGTTTAGCACATGTAGAAATTAACATGAAGTATTGTTCATTGTCAGTTCATGACCCTTTAATAGTTTAATAGATGAGAGCAACAAGGAACAAGTTCATGTTATTTGTTCTCAGTTACGTTGCTTTACATTTACATAATATTTACCTTTGCATTTCACTGGATTAATCTGAATTTTAGAGGTGCTGCTAAATATTTAAGCATTCCCATTCAACTAAATTCAATATGCAACTGAAAAACTACACAATGAACAATAACAATATATCAATAAGAATCAACCTTTAAACAACCACCATACCGTGGCACTCTCAACTTACAAGAGTGTACTGCACTCTTTATACTATAAGACATAAACGACATTTGACTGAGCAATTGCAGAATGTCCTGGCCTTCGCAAGATGACTCAGAGATGATAATAGCTTATACGTGTCTGTTAACAGGTTGGCATGTCGAGAGATCTCTCTGGGCTTTGATTAAGGCCAAGGGAATGGGGAGATTTCGTGGGAGGGGGCTTTGGCACTTGTGTGGGCTCCACCGGATGAATAGCACGGTTGCTTTTTAATACAGTGCCAGCCAGCATGATAAAGAGTTTGAAGAATAACAGTTGCCAGGTTCCTTGAAAAGAAGCCTATAAGAGTCGCCAAACTATGCTGATCTAATTACCTGTTGCTTTTTGTCCAAGGATCTTTTAAATAAATCTGTTGTTTACTCGTCATCCATGGGGACCGTAGCGCACACAAATGCATACACAATGAGAACAGAATCTGTTGTAATTCAACTTGAAGGTCTACAGACAGAACAATAATTTAATTTCTTCAGCTCAGGCCATGTGTCCAATTACACATTCATCATAAAACACCAACAAATGCTGAAGGGAACTGCTTTAACATAATTTAATGATAAAAATGTAATGTTCTATAATAATTCAGCAATTATTTCATAATGCATCAATAATATATCCTCACCCCATTAATGTATGTTTTTAAACATGATTAAAACAGTATAGTGAGCGAATGAAAAACATCGGTATTGGAATTGGCCAATAGATGTCTGTTAAAGAGCCCCTTTCATTGCATTTGAAATGTTCCTATTTTTTTGTTTTAGGTGTTTTAAAGTGTTTAAAAAACACTTTAATTGTCTTATAATATGCATTTATTTTTAACTGATTTGCTCAACGACTCCCAAATGATTCGTTCGACGATACATTTTCCCAAACACCTCCTTTGAGTGACGCGAATCTTCGGCGATTGGTCAAATGACCCAGTCAGTTGTTATTGGTAAACCGTAGGCAGAGACTGTCGGCAACGGAACGCCCATAACCAGGATTATAGCTTGTCAAGTGTTGAAAATTGCATATAGTGTTTGAACAAACATGTCAGAAAAAGTGCACTTTCCACACGGTCCCTTACACGCGTCTCCGTCAAGAGCAAGCTTTCCCGGCGAAACTCACATTGCGGCGGCTTTGCGATTTTTTACAATGAATGTCTGGTGAATATCAAAAACAAAACTAACTTAGAACTAAAACTAACTTACCCCGCTTAGAAGCTGCGCGGAGTGTACACAACGCACACAACACAATATAACTATATTGTACATGCTACAGAAAACATAACATTATTAAAATTACTTACAGATTGTGATTCGTAGGAGGACGAACCTGATCCATATACACTGGATACTGAGCCCTCCTTCAGGAACAACCGGCTTGCGAATCCACATTTGAATTCATTTAGGTTTTTGAATTTTGAATGATTCGTCATCAAAATGATGAGAACACAAGGTTCGGGCTATACTGTTGTGGTATCGTTGCAAATATGAACTCTAACCACTGATTCTTCACATGCTCGTCCCTGGACAATGGAAACAAGTGGCTGAACTGTCTTTGCAATGTAGAACACAGCGTCTTCTCGACATGATGCGATTCAGCTGAAGTATTTGAATGTGTTCTAGACGTCACTTCAAGTTTACACTTTCGTATGCGCGCGCAGTTGTTGGGAGCGGCCAATGACCTATCTACGTCACGACGTAACAGCTAATGACTCGTTTCAAAAACAATTCATTTCATAGACTCAGAGTCGACTCTCACTTTTGAAAGACAATAACTTTATATACGGTGCACTTTCAGATATAAATCTTTGCAGGATGTTTTCATTCCCTTAGAGCTATACTATTCCACACTACATGAACAGTCAATTTCAAAAATCCATGATAGGTGCTCTTTAAAATTGGTATCGAACAAAAACATTGGTGCATTCCTAACAAAAACGCATTCTGTGTGAATGACCCCTTACAAGTCACAAGATTTCAAATCAAGCCCCATTTTGGCACTTTATTGTTACAGGATTTCGGTCTGTGTGAAGAGTTCTCACAAAGTTAATGCAATTACTTTGTTATCATGATCAATCTTTGCTGCCACCTCTGTGTAATCATTCCCATGATGACAATCCATACGAGTAATTTAATTAAAAATAATTTAAACCAAGGCGGCCCAACCTGATACCATTTGAAGACAGGTACACAAAGTGTCTGCTTCCCGAAATAGATCTGCTGCTTTTGTCTGTGATGCAGGTGAAACAGTGGCTGAGCTGAGGCTCATATATCCCTACCCACTTCGCCAACAGCATAATTAGCACTGATGATGCTGACAGTGATTAGTGACTCAACTGAGATAGAGAAAGAATGAATGAAAGAAGTAGCATCAACAGGTTCACTGCATTGGTACACATTTAAGAGCACAGACCCATCCAAAGTGAGACAAATTACCAATATTGTTCAGTCTGCTTGATGCAGAATGGGAGGACTAATATTTCCTTTCTGCATTTGCTTAAAGTACAATAAGACAGCAGTGTCTGCCACTCAAAAAAAGAACAATCAGGCATAAGTGACCAGCCATTTGCCAGTTACATAAACAGCTTAGACGAATTTTCTTAGCTATATCATTTTTTTCTGCAAGACTGGTCCTACCTATTTAAAGTCGGTTACATAAAAAGGTAGATCGATCTATTTTGAATGGGAAAAGTACAACTCACCCCTTTGTTAACTGTTATGGTCTAACTAACTACTGCATTTCTTAAGACACAGTCTTACCATAGTGGCTTAGACCATATGTCTGAAAGGTAGTTAAATCACAAATAATGCATATCTGGTTAAATTGAAGACAGAAAAAAACTAATTAAAAATGATGGTGTACTGAGACAAATAGAAGATATAATATGTGATCAAAATGAAGGCCGATCAAAATGCATTAACCCAACTAAGAGGACAGCAAAAGAAAAACCTTACCTCTTGCTGACAACTTTTTTGTGTTGATGATCTTAGCAGCATATTCCTGGCCAGTTGATTTCTTTACACATCGCCGAACAACAGAGAAGGCTCCCCTGTTTAAAAGAAGCAAAGCACACACAATCAAGCTAGCTAGACAGGAATTCAATTCAAACAAAATGCCACAATATTAATGTCACAAATTAAGCTAATAGTGCTCGTCGCCCACTTTTGCAGTGGGATTCTTGGTTTCAAAAAGTATTTTTTCACATAAATATTTACCAAAGTTTTTTAAGTAAAGCAAAAACCTCTAAGTCCATCTGACATTTTTCATTTAAATTAGTATTTTTATGTTTTTAATTTTATCAGTAAAAGTTTTGAAAATAAGACATTTATTTCATTAAACGGACTAATAACCTTTTCATTGCCATTAAAGTGAAATTACTGAACCTAAACATAGGAGCCTAATGAAAATGCTCATTTAAAAGAAAAACAGAAAGACTTTTGCACTTGAAGTCTTCATGTCTTCATTCCAGCCGTTAACCAAACCAACCAACAACGAAAAGAATCATAACCTTACAGGTTTTAATTTGAAACAAAAATTGTTTGTTTTTTTAAAAAAAGACAAAGATACAAGACTGTGTACTTAACGATTATGTACATATAAACAACATTTTCAAGTTTATTGCAAAATATTTGAAGTAGCTTGAGAATGTAGGGAGAACGACTCAGCAACATCATTTGCAGTGCTTCATAGGAGTGGGCCTATGGGTTTCAGAATTGGTGATGATGACAGTTATGAAGTGAATCAAATGTGACGGTTCGTAACAAGCGTGCCGCACAAGCCCTGAAAAGTGAAGCCAAAACATCTTAATCGCCCCTCGATGGCCGGTCCTATTATTGGTCATAAACCCCGCCTCCCAATGTTATAAGTATCGGTCATAAACCCCGCCTCCCCATGTCATAAGGATCTAATGCATGGTATAAGGAAAAACAGCAGCTTTTTTAACATAGTTATGTGCAACAACAGCAAGAATAGCATGTCAAATTCTAATTTGTACATTTCACAAACAAAAGAGCACTAAAGCAATTACTACGTCATCATATTCACTTGTGATATATGATGTTTAAAGATACTGATGGAAAATCTGAATCATTTCCACAGGACCTTGCATCCTCATATGGACCCTAATGCCTTCAATGTGTTCTGAGTGCACCTCCAAGTTTCTTCTATAGCTATTTCATAAAAGCAACTGCCAAAACTTTCATACAATTTAATCGTAAGCATATTTCCAGTGTGTTTTAGTAAGATCTCTGCTATTCAGCAGTTTTTTATAAAGGAATATTTATACTACGTAAATCCAAATGGTCTAGTAGCTCATGGGTTCGGATTAATGAGACAGTTGGTTTTTGATCCAAGAACTGTTAAAACAGATTCAATATGAAAAATGAACCGGACAACACGAATTCACTTCTGATGCTTTTGGTTTTGGTAAATAATTGATGATATGTAACACTTAATACAGTGATGGGAAAATCTGAATTATTTCCACAGCTCTGTTCTAACAGCTATATATATATACATAATTTAATAGTTCAAAAATATACGTATATAATATGTTTTGTAAATAAAGTTTTAGGCCCTATTTGCAGTGTTTATTTACAAAGCTACAGCTTTTATTAAAGCCAACTCGGGTTTGTAGGTGTAGATAAAACTGTCATACAATCAAAAGGAAAGCCAATTCTGGTAGCCCATGCTTTGTGTGTGTAATATCTGCTATGCGACTATTGAAGTAATTTGCATTGAGTTGTTGACTCGAGAACAGCTCAAATAGCTAGGTTCAATACGATTCACGTACAATCGTGCAGGCCGGTTTTCTATACAGGTTCAACTGGTTCATTACAACAATCCTACACCACAGAAATGATTCGTTTAAGAATTGGACAGCGCTAATTCAATTCCCTTCCTTCCATTCTCGCGGTGATGTTTTTGGCGACTGGACAACAAACGTAACCGACCGCCCAATGACTCTGCGATATATGACGCCCAAAACAGCAGTATTTTCCATAACTATCGTTACACAAGTCTGCAGCAAACCGTAGCCTATACTATCACCCTGCGCGGCAGGAGTCCTCGCATCGGTGGTAGCCTATCCGATCAATGATAGCCTACTCAGAATGCTATAAAAGTTTAGGTGTGCATTCAACATACGGATGCAGATCACCTCACACTAAACTAAAGGATTTCCCTTTCTAACGAATGTCCGTTCGCATGTCGATAAAGTGTCTATAAAGTATTGCCTATTGCATCACGACAACACGCAGGCTCCGCAAGCACCCTGTGGCGCGCGAACACGATGTTAGGAAATGCATCTAAAGATAAACAAAGAAACGAGCTTTGCGAACGACGAGGCTTAATAAATCACACAGACATGTTCAAATCGACTCAATCGGGCTTTCCGTTACCGGGCGGCACTGGCTTTTCACATGCAAAAACCGATACGGCTGTGTGTGAAGGCTGCTGTCAACACTGAACTAGACACAGGCAACACGATGAGACACAATGCAGTGAGTGAAGAGAGTGAGTGTGTGTGTGTGTAGCGGGTCACACAACACAGCGGTGCGGTCGCTTACTTTCCGAGCTCTTCGTACAGCTGATATTCGTCTGTAAACCTGGTGGAGGTTACAATTGTAGCCATGTTGCGCTTTACGAGGATATCGCCTCTCTGGTGTCTCCGGGACCGCCTCGCTCAGGTTTCGGGAGATCACTCGCTCTCTCACTCAAAGGGGGAGAGGGAGGGAGGGAGTGAGAGAGAGAGAAAGAGAGAGAGAGGGGAGGTGGGGGAGAAGGAAGAGAGAGTTGCTGGTCTGTGTGTGCGTGTTGGTGGAGAGAGAAAGCAGCCAGTCACGCGAGATTTTCTCCTTCGACGTCGAGAGAAGTGACAAACATTGCCAGAGAATGCGACGCGACAATAGAACGAGTCTCGCTCTTGCTGTATGAACTGACAGCTGTGGTGTTTTTCTGCGTAGAGATGTCTGAACGTGCACACACCGTTTTTTGAGTCGGAATTGTTTCCCAAAACCGGTTTGAACAATATGAAGCCAACAACTTATATGATCTATCGGGTGAAATGAACCGAGAGCTGATGTTTGGAATGAAAGGATTTGCCTTAGCCTATAGCAAAAGTAAGCTTTTATAATGAGACGAATGAACAAAAACTGTGCATCAAAAACTGTTACAGATACTACAGAACTTATTATTGAAATATAACGTTAATTACTAATTGGTTGTGTACACTATAATAACACATCAGAGTTAATTTGAATATTGGCCCATACCCCCTTTATCTTTTAACACGGAAGCAAGCTATTTCCTTTAGCCTATGTGCAAGACTTTCGATTAAAGGTAGCCTAAATAACAAACAAACAAAAAACAGCATAACTACCCGTTTTTGTAGTCTATAACTGGAAGTGGCTGACACCTAAAGTTTAAATGGCCACAGCTGCTCTTGCATTAAAATGAGGTGGGTAGCAATGTAAAATGTACAACTACAAGAGTTGTAACGTTAGGCCTAATACAATTTACCATTGGTCGGTTATTTTTCTTTGCCATATGTTTGACTGAATCATAAAATGTCAATTTTATAGCCCCTCTAGCTCATATTCATAAAATATTTAATATTTAGCTGGATAAAGGGCACTTCATTGGAAGTCTGCATTCTAGTATTACCATGCTTACATTGTTGATGACATGACATATATATAATCACCATCTCAAACGCTAATGTAACTAAAAATCATTTGAATCCCTTGAAGACTATCTACTTCCTGGAAGAAACGTAGATAACTTTTGTTTCATTGTGGGTTGTCAAAAGTGCCCAGTCCAGTGTAGCAAAGCCCGAAACATATTCTTTGCACGTTAATTTGTCTTTTTATTTACATCTTAAACCATTCAGGTAGGATAAAGATATCAAATCTAGCCTAAACAAAGTACCCCTGCACCCACTCGCAGGTTGAAGTTCCGAAGACTCCCTTTGTGGTTGTTCTTTTTTGAGGCTCACTTTGTTAAGATCCACATGAGATAATTGTAACAATAAAAACACTTATTTTATTGATTACAATACAAGTTAATGCAAAAAGGCAAACAAACAACAAAAAGAGCTCTACAATTAAGCTCTAAACAGCAAAATAAGTGTTTTTATTGTTACGATTTGCTACTGTGGGACTTTAACTACAGAGTCTCAAAAAACAACAATCACAAGGGAGTTTTCTACATAATTCCTGAAGAACTTCAACCAGCGGACCGTTGAGAGTACTTTATGGTTCAGGCTAGATTTGACTAACCCTTTACCCTAATTGAATAAACATAGGATTGAAGGTGTAAGATAAAATGACACTAATTAACAACCAATGCAGATGCTTCCAGATACACAAACTCAATTCCATGCGTTAATAAAAATACCATTCCATTGTCAATAAATATACCTGACAACACAAATAAATACAAATGTCAATCACTGGTAAAACAATCATACATTTAAATATAAAAATAAATTGATTTACTCATTTAATGCAAGACTGCTTCATGTTTGATCCACTATATTAGTCCATTATGTGGACTCTTATTGCATCTTAGAAATGTGACAATTCACCGTCTCATGGCCATAAATGCTCTCAACCTTGTGAAGCAAAACAGTCAGATTGGAATTAATGCATAAGAAGTGCAGGGACTGTAATTACACAGAGGCAGGTTGATATGAAAGCTCAATTAGAGCGTAGAGGTGGGTGGATATTAATTGCAGTGTTCCTGTAGTGATGTTGCTGTGTATGGCAGTGTGTCCTTGCATGCTGGGAAACGCCACATTTTGGTATCCTCAGTCCTTTGCAAAAGCACATTATCAGAGGGTGGATGGCTTGCTGCCAGACAGCATCAGTTCTTCAGGAAAATGTAGTGCCTTTGGTATTTTAGACCATATTTTGGTATTTTAGGCCATTTATGTTTGAATTGTGTGATACAATGCGCCATAAACAGGCTGTTTTGTCTGTTAGTGTTTGTTATGAAGTTATTTAAACACAAATGAGTGATCAATGCTCGTTTTGCATTTAGAATTGAACAGTGGTATCAGCACTGTCATACTCTGACCGCATTATTACTTCATGCAACTGAAGATTAACTGAAGCATCACAAAAAGGGATGTATTAAAATATTAGGAGCAGTCTGTGGGGCTTAATTTTAAAGGTTTCCAATTTAGTTTTGGAGGTGTCCTACAACAGGTTTACATGCATCAAATGGCAAAAAGCTGTTTCATTTTCTCATAATATACATTGCACATCACCACATTGTTTAGTGATTCTCAAATGACTCGTTGGATGAATCAGTCTCTAAATCCCTCCTTTCTGATTGGCCAGATGGCCCATTGTGATTGGTCTACCGTGTACAGTGCAAGCGTGTGTTTTGGAAGCTAACTCTCATTACCATAACTGAACTGCAGCTCCACTTTAAAGACAGTAACGATATTACCGTATCAATCCTAGCCATTTAAACTTAACTTAACCTGAACATTATGAGATGTTGCAACTATAAATCCTCACAATCAATCAAAAATATCTTAATTTGTGTTCTGAAGATAAACTAAAGTCTTACGGGGTTGAAACAACACGAGGGTGGGTAATTACTGATCAGAATTTCCATTTTGGGGTGAACTATGCCTTTAAGAATTATAATTTGCCTTTGAGTTGACTGCTGCCCCTTGTGGCGATGATTGTGTTGCCACACCACAGCATTATGTTGCTGTATTGATTTGTGAAACAAATGTGTAATCCACTACTGCTCTAAGTTGTGACCAGTTTTGATAACTTCCGCTACACTCTCTGCAAATTATGCCACACACATTCTTTTCAACGATCTGACCTTTCTCCAAAACCTCACCCTTCACAGACAAGACAAAGTCAAACATCCAAAATGTATTACAGTAAAAAAAAAAAAAAGTTACGAGTGTGTCTTAGTATTAGTATTCTGTATCTATTTGCTGTGTTGTGCTTGTTGGAATGATATTTTCCAAAAAATGAGATGATTCAATCAGTAAAGATTGTCAAAACGGTCACAAGCAAATTAGTAATTTGAATCAGACAGTAATCAAGCCATTAAAGATTTCACAACTTTGAACAAGTATCGTGTTTTGGTTATGTTATATTACAGTAACAAATCTTTAAATGTGTGAGACTTGCTGAATGATTGTTTGTGCAATTTAAGAAACAATTTTAAATAAATCAGTTTATTGTCTAGCATAGTTAGGCTCAATTGTAAGAATGAACCAATTGAGGAACACTTTGTTTGGGAGTGGCATGTTACATTGGGACCATAAACAATGCAACATTTGACTTTCATAAGAATAGTTCTGCGTATATGGAACAAATACATTGAAATACAGCCAAAAAAAAAAAAAAAAAAGTCATTACTTTATATAACTAAAACATCCCTCCATCTCAGAATATAGCATGACTGATGGTTTAAAGGTAAACAAGGAAGCTATAAACTCAAACCAATTTATTAAATGAACTTATTTGGTGTATGTAAATATAAAAAAAGTATGATTCTCAATAGAATTGTAAGCGTGGACAACAGCCAAACAACCAACTGTATCAAATGATTCTGTAATTTGGCAACTAAAACATAATTTGACACCTAAATATTTAATTTTTGGAGCCCTAGTCTTTTTTTCCCCTTTTTTTTTGTCTGAGGAGCTGTATCTGTCAGGTAGTAAGGACATTTTATGCGTGGTATTTCATAAACAAATCGCTCATAGCACCTTTAAGAGATGCCAAACTCAGCATGTGTTCGGGATGACTCACACACTGTGAGGGAGTTAGTTGGATTGCCCATTGTGCATTCTTACCACAGTTGAAGTCTTTCCAAAGTGGGTTGAAGCTGTTTTGAGTAGTTTTCAGAGATAAACAGGAGGAAGTGTTTTTGTTACATTGGTGAAATTACAACACTTACATCTGCTTGTATGTTACGTAATAATTAATCCTGGTATATATAGATTTCTGAATTTTCTTCACTTCTTTAGAATGGACACATAGAAACAGGAAAGAAAAATGCCCTTTGGACTATGACCTAAGATAAGTGTACAACAGATATACATACTTTGTACATCAGAGATTGTTTCTTGTTTCTCCAATCTAAGTCTGAAGTAAAAACAAACAAACAAACAAACAAACAAAAAACTATTACTTAGGCTACTTTCTTCTGGTGAACACAAAATTTTGAAGAATGATGGTAACCAAACAGTTTCGGTGCCCATTGACTGCTATAGTATGAACAAAAATGTAATAGAATTCATTTTTAAAAATATCCCACAGAAGAACATCATATAGGTTACTGACAGATTTTTTTTTTAACTGAACTATCCATTTAGCATTAAAATGAACACAGCCTTATTCAGCAATAACAATTCAAAGGAACGTAAGAGCAGTTGACTCATTTTGAATCATGGTTTAATATATCTTTAGCAACAATTGCCTTCAGGAACAAAAGATTCACAGTACTTCTAGCTGTGTAGCTCTTAAAATAAACACATGTTTTGCATTATCTTAACTACCGGTATGTACTAACGTTACTTCAACTGTGTATTGACTTTTATCTTGCTCTTGATTCTGTATCTTCTGACAACGAGCTACTGTAGGACTTAAGGAAACATTCTCCTCATTTAATTATTTCATATGAATTGTGTTTAACTCAGGTCACTTAATAGGTTACAGTACCATTTATGGTTTGTGACTATATTAACATCTTTATGGGAGGACTGTTATTGTAAACAAATCAGATGGATGGATTGTTTTCTAGGAACGCAGACAGACAACATTATCGGAAATTACAACAGAGTAAAAGAATTTATATAGAAGGTATAATGTAAAAATGTTTTTTTAACCTAAACATTACATTGAATACTGAGAACATTTCATCCCTTCTTGTGAATTGTATTATATCACTTGAAACCAGGAGATGAACAGGCCAAGAATGTCTTCATACCCAAGAGTGATCCTCCTCCTCCTCAAATAGCCTTCATTTTACATTAAAGAAAATACTTTTCATAGCTCTTATATGCTTGCTTCTACATCTGCTCTGACCTGATCTACTCAAACTAAGAAGGAATGCAAGAGGACAATAAACAGGTGGAGGAGAAAGTGCAGAAACAATAAAGAATCAAGCGTTATTCTAGTTGTGGTGGGCTATGTCAGAGCGGATTTGGATGGAGCACAAGCATAAAAGCAAAAGGTAGGAGAATAAGAGAGGCGTGAGGAGGAGTGCAAGGCAGAGGCATGTCAGAGAAACAACAGATAGATGAGAGAAAGTGAACCAGGGGGTGGATTAGAGAGTCCACAAACAAGCTGCTGTATTATTCCCTATTAAATCATTGCCACTACCTGCATTATTTTATGTAGCCAAATAAAGATCCAGAGACATCTACATTCAAATTCATTCTGCTCTTGTCTGGACCCCATTAACAGTAAAATCCATTGCATCCTACAGATGGGAACTTAAGTGTAAAAATCTCTGCTCACAATGCAGGCAGGACATCAAGAGTTCTTGATGTCAACATCGCTACACATTATACACAGCCAGAGTGCCACAAATTATCTTGCAAAGATGAGTTAAATGGACTGCTTTGTGGATCCTGTCCACAACTACCTCTTGACTACAAGAACAAAGTGGCCCTTTGCATACGGGTACCAACCTTTTTAAATAAGGCCCTGAGTTTGCAGACTTTACAGGTACTCTTGGATCTGGCCTTTCTGTTTATGCTGTCAGGTTCCTCATCATTCCCTTCATCTCCTGCGTCTTCCTGTCCTAGCCAAGGAGTCCACACCCCTCCATGAAGTTGCGGGTCCGCCATTGGGTCGTCTGGTGGATTGCGTGGGCTCACAGCAGTCCGGTTGTACTCGGCGAGCCGGGTCAAGAGCATTTTGACCACCTCGGGCCGTGCCTCTGCCAAATCTGCCCTTTCGTAGGGATCAGCAGTGACGTTGAAAAGATAGACAGACTTCCCCCGCTGGTCTCGTCTCTTTTCCATGTCCTGCCACTGTTGCGGACCTCCTGGCATCGTCTGTGGAGGGAACCAGTCTCCATCGCCTACGTTTCCAGTCAGAAGTTTCCAGTCACCAACTCGAATGGCTGCACGCACTCCTGTATCCCAGATCCCAAAACCATTAAGAGTTAGGAGTCTCGGATCAACTTCCCCATGTCGGCGTGACACTGGGTCAATGTTGAAGAGGATTTCAGTTCGTGGACAGGGTAGGCCACTACTTACAGCGCCCCAAACATCTTGGCCGTCCAGGTGGCTGGAATCAGACTCTCTGTCTCCTGCAAGAGACAGCAAGGTTGGGTACCAATCCGAAACATGAATCAGAGCCTGACTCACCACCCCCTTCCTTTTCAAAAGTGGGCTGTGTACAAAGCCAACAGCTCGAACTCCACCTTCCCAGTAGGAGCCTTTGCCACCACGCAGGGGCCAATTACAACCCCCTGAGAGAGGCTGGCCCCCGTTGTCTGAAGAGTAGATGAGCACAGAGTTGTTGTAGTAGCCTCGCCCCCGCAGCTCACTGACAATCTCTCCTACTGACTCATCCACGCCGCTCACCATGGCAGCATAGTGGCGCCGAAGTCTGTTGCCAAGGGTCTGGTAGCGTCTGAGAAGATGCCCAGGAGCTTGTAACGGCGTGTGCACGGCCTGAAGGGCCACATATAGAAACAGGGGCTTCCGCTGGTCATGACGTCTCAGGATTTCTTTCACTCTGCAAGAGTCCAAATGACAACAAAAGCATGCATGACCCACTGCAGCAAAGTATTTGGTTCACAAATGGTTGCAGTTTCTCACCTCTCCGTGTAAAGCCTTGTTGAGTAATTTCCACTCAGCTCCCAGGCTGGCCGGTCTCCATCGTGCAGATCGAACCCACAGGCCTCTGTGCCGTCACAGCTTTGGAAGTTAAAATGGTCCCCGCTGCCCGTTAGTGATCCAAGGAAGCTTTGAAATCCACGGCTCGTTGGCAGACACTCGGGCCGGCAGAAACCCAGGTGCCATTTCCCCACCATGTGGGTGCTGTAGCCAGCCTGCCGGAGCCTCTCAGGGAGGGTTGGTATGTCAGGGGGCAGACAGAGGGGCTGGCGTGCGCGGATGATCGAGTGTTGAAGCCCAGTGTGAATCTGATACCTGAAGAAAAAGATGGTAGGTGGTGATTGTGATGGAGGAATACCGTCTATACCAGTGTTCCTCAAATCTGTCCCTAAAGGTCCACTGCTAAAACATGATCAAACTGAGCAACATATTTTTCTAGTAACTCTGAAGACCTTGATTAACTTGCTCAAATGTCTTTGAATAGGGTTGGAGCTAAACTCTTCAGGTGAGGAACCCTTGTTTATACCAATACATTCATTTGGTTTAACCACAACAGAGAACAGATACTAATATAGGATCATCTTAATAGTAATAATCTTAAGATTATGATTAATAGTATGAAGTCTAATTGCATTCACGTATGAAATACACACAGAGACATATATACACAGTAGGACGCATATAATAGTGGCATTAGAACAACAATAGTAAGTCTCTTACCGTCCAGTCATAAGCTGGCTTCGTGAGGGGGAACAGATGGGCTGAACATAGTAGTTTTCCAGCTTCACCCCTTCGCCAGCCAGTTGGTCCAACACGGGCGTTTGGATCTCTGAGCCATGGTACCCGATGTCATTGAAGCCTTGGTCATCCACCATCACGAAAACAATATGTGGAGGAACTCTGCCTGGTCTGAGAATCTTTCCCTCCGTAGTGTGTAGCAGTCCTAGCACCAAGCAGAAGCCAAGCACCAACACATCCATAATGTATACACCAATCCACCAGGTTGCTTGTTCGTTGACTAGACCTTTGGTGACTCTAAATGATGACTTTCAACCAAGCCGAATTAACAGAGAAAGCTTGCTGTTATGATCGATTGTGGTGCATGAAGGTCCTTCCCCGCCCCACTGAAGTAGATTTTGCTCTATTAATTTAATCTAAAACTAGTGCTGTATGAAATCCGTTCTGTAGGTCTTCTCGATTTGTTATGCTAGGATGGTATACTGTACTGTATGTCTGGGAAACTTTGCAAGCTGAGATGATTTGTCCAAGAGTAAACACTACTGTCTTCTAACAAGACCGTGTTACATTCCTCTAGCACACACCTACAGGATCAGGATAATAGAACAGTAAACGAAAGAGTGTTCTGCATCTTTAAAAAATGAATTTCGTTATAAATTGAGCTATTTTCAGTTTATAGCACAGTTTATATACGTTTAGCATCACTTTTTAAACATTATATTAAGTTTCATTGTGTGATGTTGCATGTGAAAGTTTCTTGATAGGGTGAAATGTTAAAAAAAATATGCAAATACATGGCAACAACAAAAAAAAAGAAAAATAAACAAGGAAATACATTGTTGACACCACCTGGTCAGTAAGTGTATTACACCCAACTAATATTAGGTACTGTAGGACATTACCTCTGGATGATATTGACAAAACAACAAGCATTAGTGCAAGTGAAGCAGTGCTGATGAGACAAACCTCACAAATCGTTTCACTGGTACTTTAATTACCCCAGAACCACAGAAAGGCATTTACCTAATAATGAGTTCCCAGAACAAAGGCTGTGGAGGCTGACTTTCCTGTATAGTGGCTAACTGATGCTTACTGTGGAACAGTGGAACTATCTATGGAAAGGACAAGCACTGATGTATAAAGCTCAAAGTCTATACGTACACGTCTATTAAAGGGACAGTTGACCCAATCATTTACGCACCCTTGTTTTGGTTCAAAGCTGTATTCTTTTCTTTTACTGAACACAAAATATTTTTTGAAGAATAGTTCCATTGTATGAATTGAATTCAAACAGGGAAACAAACACCACCACACAATCGCACGCTCTCCTATGAGAGGAGAGGTGCGGCACGCATAGCCGACCCTCTCTAAAGGGCTATCGACCGCACTCAGGTTTGCTCTGCCAGCGATCTCCTGTATGTAGCAGAGAGGAAATCAATGCCACAAAATGACAAAACAGACGACAGTCTAACCCAAGTGGGAAATTTCACAGCCATTTCAGTGCAGGGAAAGAAAATGGAGGAGACAGCCAGAGGGAAAGAGGAAAAAAAACCACTCAAAATGAGCAGCCTGGCCTGTTCAGGCTTTAGTGCAACTGGTTTTGCTTCAGAACCAAGATTTTACCTGTGACATTGTGGCAACCTAACACAGTACTAAAATGATTAACACAAAAAGTGTGGCCATTTTACTACGACATTTTACTATGGCGAGGATTGCAGATTTTTAATGACGTAAACAAGACTTAACGGTATTGTTCACGTGAAAGTTTATATTCATTTAGTTCCAAACCTATGACTTTCTTTCGTCTGCTGAACAAAAGATTCGTGTAAGACCTAAGAAAAGTCATATAGGTTTGGAATGAAATGAGTAAATGATGACAGTTTTCATTTCCATCCCTTTACAACATAACTTAAGTACATAAAACAACTAAATATTCATGAAAAATACACAAACGCACTCAAACGACGTGTAAACCCTTTTGTAGTCAAACACCCAGTGAGCCCATAAAGCATTAATGCACATGTGTTATCTTCACTCTAAACTGAAACTCACCCTCAAGTTGTTCCAAACCTGACTGAATTACTTTCTTCTGTTGAACAGAATGTCAGTAACCGATTAGTTGTGTGGCCCCATTGACTTTCATAGAATTTTTCCCCCATACTATGGAAGTCAATGGGGCCCTAGCTAGGCCTGTTTGGTTACCCATATTCTTCAAAAGATCGTCTTTTGTATTCGGCAGAAGAAATAAATTCCTACATGGTTTGGACAAACTTGAGGGTTAATAAATTTGTTTTGGGTGAACTATCCCCAAAATCAATGGATAAGTGGAAATGTCCCTGAGGTACAGCGTGTGTAGCCATCACCAAATTACTCAAGTCTGTAGCACCACTATGTGGGGCAAAAAGGCACAACACCTATAATGTTACTTGTGGAGCTACCAAAATGATATTAATATACAACCGTGCTGCAGTCAAAAATGAAACAGTTATGTATGCATTTATTTACAAAACTGACTAAAGACAGCTGCACATCTCGTGTTAGCGTATTTAGAGAAACTTTTAAGAAGAGCGCATTTTGAAAAATAAATGAAAATCCCCTTCTAATTTACATTTATGTATATTTTTACAGACATGTTTTCTCTTAGCAAATCTTCCACAGGAAGCTCATTATGCAGCAGTGTGATCTGTGGTGAAAGAAAAGTGGTTTGCTTGAAGTCACTGCCATGGAGACTGAGCTACTTTCAAATATTTATGTATTCACTACTACACACAATATGACGGTTACACACTTATTTTTTCTTGTGCTTTTGGGCAGCAAATATAAAAGTATTAAAAAGTGCTTCCCCAGACAGGACTGTGTGTTCCCTTTAAAAGTTTGTTTGGTGGCAACACCCACAGGCAGTTATTTTCTTGGGAGGCAAGTACAGTTCTGCTGTACTTCAAAATCTCGAAAACAGATGGCATTTTATGATCATACACTACATTTAAAGGTTTGGGGTCAGTAAGACTTGGTTGTTGCTAAAATAAATTAGTACTTTTATTCAATAAGGACACATTACACTGATCAACATCAGAAATGACAGAGGTGGTCAGAATTAATATGTACCCTGGCCTTTTTAGCACACCAGGGTGAATAGGAACATGAAATTGTCCGGTCATGACTTCTTGATTCACAGGAGTTTAAATATGAGAAAACACAAAGGCCAAATTCCCCTAATCATCCATCCATGATTAAAACCAAAGAATATAGTTCTGATGTGCAGCAAAAGATTGTTGAGCTTTATAAAATATAAAGTAGCTGCAAGTAAATAGTTAAAGAACGAAAAATCCCCATTTCCACTATCAGAGCAACAATTAAGAAGTTCCAATCGAATCGAAAGAAGTTACGAATCTGCCAGGAAGAGGACGTGTGTCTATATTGTCTTAAAGGAGGTGAGGATGAAAGTTTGAGTGGCCAAAAACTCTTCAGAGATGTTTCTCACAAATGAATTGGGGACAGAAGCCCTTTTTGATCATAATCACCAGGGGTGCCATTAATTCTGACCACAACATTATATGCCATTTTATTTTACACAAATGGTGTTCTTTTGAACTAATTAGATAATCCTGAAAAAAATATTAAGCAGCACCACTGTTTTCAACATTAATAATAATAAGAAATGGCTCTAGAGCACCAAATCAGCATATTAAAATCATTTCTGAAGGACCATATGACACTAAAGTCTGGAGCAATGACAGCTAAAAATAAAAAATACAGCTTTGCCACCAGATGAATAAATAGACACCATAGACATAGAAAATGGTAAATTGTAATAATATTCCAAAATTTTACTGTATCATTGATCAAATAAATGCAGCCTTGGTAAGAATATGAGTAACAAGAATAAGAAAAAAAAAAAACACTGACCCTAAACTTTTGAACAGTAGTGTTTATCTAATAAAATCTAAATAAAAAATAGTATCAAAACACTGGTAATAAATTTTACTTGAGCTCAAAAAGCTTAAATTTCATTTTCAGTTTTTTCCAGCTAATACACATGGGCTGCATCTGAAATCTCATACGTCCCTACTATATAGTAGGTGAAAAACACTACATGACAAAAGTATGTCAGAATTCACAATACTCAATTCACAATCAGAAAGGCAAAAAGTAACCGGATGACCTACTTCTTTCGGTGAGATTCTGAAGTGTGCATACAATGGGAACTGTGCTATCATCCCATGAGGCCATGGGAGAGGATTTGTGAATGACTGATGCTGGTAGGTCACGTCAGGTGATAAGGGCAACATGGCGGATGTAGTAGGTCCAGATTACATTCATAGATTCATACTACTCTCATACAACAACGTACTTTTTATTAGATTCGGCCGTGAAGTAATTACTTAATCAACATAAGTACCACTACCTACTCAAGAGAGTATGCGATTTCGGACGCTTCTAAAGAACAAAAAATAAAGAAATGAAAAAAAAAAATCAGGAATCAGATTGTGATTCAATGAATCCATGAATGAAGGGCCAAAAGATTTCCATCTACTTTTTAGCCCATAGGCCTGCTCTTTTCCCCCCACCCCGAAATGCTCAATAGCAGATCAAATGATTCACACAAACATATCCAACCTCTCTAAGAGTTTATTAGAGATAATACAGCGTTGGGAGTTTTTAAAATACAGTTTTTTTTTTTACAAAAACAAAAGAAAAGAAAAACGAAAAATAGACTAGACAGCAGCTTCTCCTTGTATAGGACAGACTACACAGCACAGGACAGCCCTTCTCCTCTCCCGCTTTCACTGCTCATGACACACAACACATCTGCCACAGCATCTACATTAACTTCCACGTCAGTGTGCGTAGTGTAGAGGAAAGTGCATGGTTAGGATAAATACAGGGATAACACCTGATAAGACACTTCACTGGATTCTAGTGGGAGATGAGACATTGCTCCCTCGATTGCAAATACTTTCTTTCCGTTTGGTTTCTGGTCCAGCTTTGTGCGTTTGTGCGTGTGGAGAAGAGAAGGGCTGCAGATCTGTCGTCCTCTAAGTGTCCTACTCAAACAGAGATCTGGCTGTACACAAACGTTTTCAGGTTCAACTGATGTCTATTCAGTTATAATCTTACCCACCCAGACCCAAAATATACAACGCTTTTAAATGTACAATGCTTTACAATCATTCCTCAGGAGAGATGAGCAAGGCTAGACTGTGTGTGTGTGTGTGTGTGTGAGTTTTTGTATGAGTACTAGTGTGCATTAACACACTTAAGTCACCAGTGAATTCATGCTTGTCCACACTGGTTGTGCGTTCTGGTCCTGATAGGTAGATCTGTCATTAAGAGAAGAGAAGGGACTACATATCCCAGCATTCCCTCATCTTCAACATGCCAGACAAGGCATGTGAGCACCTTGGCAGCAGGGAGAGGCTGAAGTTTGCAGTCCACTCAAAGCCATCTGCTACTATAGTTTTGAACCAAGTGGTTTTGGTACCTCTGTAAGCGGCTTGTTTTTTTTAGGTGTTCCGATACTGGAGGAGCAGGAGACGTCCTCTCAGCTCCAGCTGCTGCTCTGGAGCTCTTCTCTGAGCCAGGTAGGTAATGTCTGGCCCAGCCGATTCAGCAGTCGCAACAATTCCAGGTTATGCTCCCGATAGTACTCCGTCAGGAAGGCACGTGTCTGGGAAAGACACAAACAGAGCGGTGTCATGAAACCTGCATCTTGTAAGTGTAGCGTGTCCTAACTAACAACAGCCTGTAGCCATGACTATGTTTGCAATATAGAACATCCTAGAGTATCATAGCTTAAATTTACCTGCTACAGTTTGTTTTATAACAACAACAACCAGAAATGATATCAAGTACTGGTCCACAAATTAAAATTAATTATAACATTTAAAATGTATTTCAAACTATTAAAATCTTTTTAAAAAAATCTTCCTAAGTGGTAGTATATTATTATTAACAAAACTAACAAAAAATAAATTATTGAATTATTATAATTTTATTATTATTAGAAATGTAATATAAATAACATTTTTTGCAATTAGAAATTAGTTCTATAATTATTATCATTGATAAAACTCATATAAAAATTCCAAATGTTTATTATTATTATTATTACAACAAAGATTCATGTGGTGAAATCAGCCTACTATTGTTATTCTTATAAATAATAAAATTATGAATGATTAAATTTGTGTCAATTATATTTACATTATTATTATTAGTAGTAGTATTAGTAGTAGTACTATTACATATCTGTAATTAAAATGAGAAATTATTTGGATTATTATTATCAATATTAAAATTGCCAAAAGCAGCTTTTCCACTGCCACTACATTTATTGCTTGTTTGTTTCACAAAGCCATTTTCCCTTTTCATTAAGCAATAAACAAAAACGTGACAAATAGCCTAGAATGACCTAGGTCCCTGTATGTTCTGTTTAATTCTACTTGCAATGTACCAAAAATGCTTCTTGTCTTTTACTAGTTGAAACATATCCAGTGATATATATGACACATGACTGTCCGTGTCTGTGTGAGGTCGAGTCCATCATTTCTCACTCCCGGTGAGTCACACGTCTATAACGCGTGTCCTTGCCACTGGCATCGTTCAGAAAGAGAGAAAATTATATGAGGGAGGAAAGAAGAGAAGAGACTATAGTCTACCTCAGGGGCCATTTCAGGATATTTTCTGCCTTTACTCTTCCCCAGACACTTAGGACGCCCACCTTCCAACCTCTGACACCAGAATCCTTTACCTTCATCAAAGCTGCAAAACACACACAACCGAGTTTTATACAAGAATGAAAGATTATCACAGGTGTACTTTAACAGAGTCAGGTGAAACAGCGGGACTCACACAAGGGCCTGGGTGTAGTTGAAGATGGGCGTGACCCCAAGGAACCGCTGGATGCCATCCATCACCAGGACTGGGTTAGATCGGAGAAGGGTGCCATCTACAATATGGAGCTAATGGAGGAGTGTCAAATAAAGAAAGCATTAAACAAAAACAAAAAACAAAAAAATAAATAAATAAATTGAATTGCTAATGTGTAGTCTAACATTTTGCAAAATGTTACTGCCGTTGACATTTCAAACTAAAACTATTAAAATTGTTCATTTGCATAAAACTGAAATAAAATAAAATATAATTATTAGGTGAAAAACTTGAAATAAATTCAACAAATAAAAAAGTAAAACTGAAATAAAAGCTAAAAAGAAATATATATATATATATATATATATATAAACAAAATAAAATGGAATAAAAATCTAAATAAAATCTAATTCAAAATATGAATAATAAATAAACAGAAAAAGAAATGCTGTTAAAAATAAAAAAAATCAACAGGAAAAGACTCGAGAATCATACACAGATGACTACTAGTCTACCTGTCTGGCCTGGTAGTGTATAAGCCAGTGCTCTAGATGTGTGGCGTAAGTCCCGGGCTGAAGGCTGCGGTTCTGAAGGGTCAATAGCTCTTTTGATGCAGAGGGACCTGCTGTTACAACCTCGTGGAAAGTGTGGTTTATTGCAGCAGGGTCCTGGTGAGCTCGCTGATGCTGACAACACATAAAAAAAAACACAATTCATGTCATAATTTCTTTGGTGAAAGAGAAGGTTAAAGGCAGATTCATGGTTAAGATAAATTAAATCTGTCTAGGAAGAACTTCTACATCCTGCTGGCTATATAAGAAAGTGGCTAAAAAAGACTGGCTACCACAAAGACCTGATATTTTCACCCCATGTGTGAAACTCCACTTAAAAAAAAAAAGACCTGGAGAATGAGAGAAAGCTGTAGACTAGAGTACCTGATACCAAGAGTAGGCTCTGTCGGCTGGGTTGATGAGCACTGCTATGACCTTGGCTCTGGGCAGTAAGGCGGCGGCCCTCTTTGGAGCAACCTCTGTGTCAAAGTAGTTGGCACTTTTTTCAAACATGAAGTCTGTGCTGACATTGGAGGGGAATGGAAAGAAGTCCATGTACCTGCAAAAGATTAAGACACTCATTTAATACAAATATGCTATAAGAGGCTACAATCACAATGTTTTTATTTCCAAATAAATCCAGACTTGGATAAGTCTTTCATTACAGAACATTGTAAGTGATGTCTCACTCAAATTATTTTTTTAATAGAGGGCTTGTCCTGTAAATAATGGATCTATTAATAATTCAATATGAAACCCAGACAGTATTACTAATATAATAAAGTGGAGGGGTGATACAATATATGACTTATGGTTTGTGTCCGCTACATTAGCTGGGAGAGAAAATGTATCGTGTATATTACCAGTCAATGCCATTGTGGTAATTCTGCCCGTTAAAGAACTGGATCTCCTCAAATGTGACTGTGCTGGGGAAGTTGCTGGTGATGGCAGGGTGAAGGGTCAGAAAGGAGTGCAAAGCTGTGGTACCTGTTGCCAAAAATAATCAATATATCAGATGCGTCTAGGATGTATTTTGGATCTTTTTTTATTTAGTTAACCTCAACAGGATTTTTGATTTGAGTCTGGGAACATGTGGACTTACCCGTTTTCTGTGGGCCAATAACCAGAAATTTGGGCAGCCTATCACAGGTCTTCTCTTTGGACCAGATGTCTTTATGTCTCTTGTCATGGCAGGGGTTCTGAATGGATGAAAAGACACATTCCCACACATTTTGATTAAAAAATGTCCACGACCTTTCCATTCAATCAATATTACTGTTATTATTATTATATAATTTACAACACTATTTTATCATTTTAGATAAAGAGAATTGTGGAGTGTTTTTTGTCTTGCATGTCAGGCACCAATCATTTTAATTAATAGATCTATGTGTCACAAATGTGACGCTCTCTTACCTGCCATAGGGGGTCCATCTCCTCTGGAAAGATTTGGAAATATTTCTCGGCTAGTTCCATTGGAGGTAAAGTCTCTAGCCGTACGTTGGTCCAGCACTGCACAAACTTCACAAGAGACTCAAAGGTATAAAGGCCGAGCCGATCATTTCCGTAGTTAGACAGGTGTGTCATAAAGATGCTGATCTGAGGGTTAAAACAACATTATTTACATTTACTGTAAGTTCATTTGTTTCTTTTAAATAAAAGCTGTGGAAACATCTGCTACTTTCATTATGAAGATCATAATCTAGATTATGTTTCCAGCTGCTGCACTAGCAAACACTTCAGGCGATAGAGCCCAACACAAACAAAAGCACACAGTGCAAGGGCACGACTCTGTCACCAAATAACATACACATGCCCATTCACTAAACACACACAGAGAGAGAGGAGAAAACAGCACAAATGCAACTCACAGGGTTTAGGAGGACAGTGAGGAAGAGTTCTCCTCCACGTATGCTCTTGTCCAGCTCCCGAGAGCCTCCAGGGTACTCATTATAGAAGATAGTGTGAGTAAACAGGCCACATGTCTGCCTGGGCAACACCTGCAGACAGAAGAAGGTTAGAGACTTGAACAGACAAGCCTCAATTCTGCTTCAGCCACACTCCAAGAAAAATGTATTAGAAGGAATGACACCACCATTAGTCATTTCATCTGATGATGATGGGCACAAATTGAACTTAGGCTACAATAACTGCATTATTGTTTCTTGGATTTGAAAACACTGGGTCTAAATCATAAAACAAAAGCAGGATGAATCCCTACAGTAAATTGTTTATACAATCCTTATCAGAAAAATTGTTGCACGCAATTGAATCATGTAAGATTTACAGAGAATATCATTCTGCTTGTGTTTTATGAATAAAGACCCTTTGACACCAAAATCAACACATCAATCAAAAACAAATCAATCAGAATTGGATTCATTTACATTACATTTACATTTATACATTTAGCTGATGCTTTTATCCAAAGCGACTTACAATTGCTATAGATGTCAGAGGTCGCACACCTGTGGAGCAACTAGGGGTTAAGTCTATTGCTCAGGGACGCATTGGTGTCTCACAGTGGATTCGAACCCGGGTCTCTCACACCAAAGGCATGTGTCTTGTCCATTATTCTTTAATTCAGCAATGATGCATTATATTGATCAAAAGTGACAGTAAAGACATTTACAATGTTACAAAATATGTCTAATTCAAATAAATGCTGTTCTTTTGAACTTTCTAAAAAGTTTCTATAACAATATTAAGCAGCACATCTTTTTAAACATTGATATTAATATATATTTCTTTAGCACCAATCCAGCAAATTAGAAAATAAGCGATTGGCTGAAAGATGATTGGTTTCCTCCTCTTTTGTTTGTATTAGATCATTGGGCCTTTCAGTGAAGCAGCATCTTTTTACCTTTATGTCACGATGTATGAAGCCTCTGCGATGGCGTGCTGGCCTCAGGTGTGGATATTCTTCTGTGCTGGTCACTGTGATCCCCCACACACTCTTCCAGGCCTCGTACAGCTGGCTGTGTATGGGATAAACCCCTGAATGATGCGGGGCCACAGCATACCCCATGTCTGTGGGAATACCATGCTCCTGTAATAACAAGACACAAACAAACTCTTGAGATGATCAATCACAAATCCACTCACAATTGCACTGCCAAGACTTATAGGGTGAATGGGAGTAGAACAGAGAAGAAAAGTCGATATGAGATGCATTAGAGGCACCGTTAACAAGACATGTCATCAGGGAGTTTGCGAGCAAGAAGCTTTTGATTATGTTTCTCAGGCAAAGACAAGAGGCATAGTTTTTTCCAACACCACAGGAGGGTGGTAGACAAACACATCCTCAGATGAGCAGAGGACTTTTTTCAAGTCCAAAGTGCCACCTTTAAGAGCTCCATGTGTGTTTGTTGCTCCTCACTCGTGTGTGTGAGTGTGGGTATGTGTGAGCACACACTGTGAGATCCACAAGCCCCGGTTAAGAACGGCCCTTTGCAGGCTCATTAAACCTTGATGAAGGAGCTGTGTCTTTTCTATTGAGCGGAGAGCAGGAGAAGGCATATGTCAGTGTCTGCTCTAAAGACAGGATGTGACAGAGGGATTAGCGAGAGGAGGAAAGAGCTGGTTAGTATTCACAGCGCACTCCCTCTCTCTGTCTGTCTGCCTGAGGTCCATATCCCACTCCAATGACCATCATTACACCAGGGTGGGCTCGTTTCAACAGGCCAAATTCACAATCTCCTCAGCAGATGCACACCGAGTCAAGGTCAAAGAGAATCCTACCGATCCAATGAAAAAGTGCTAATACAAATCTATAATGAAATACCAACATGAGATAAAGCAGGCGGGCAGAGAATCGATACTCGCACCTCTGCGACAGAAGCAATAATGCTTGTAAATAGTAACACAATAATGAAGGAACAAAGCATGCTCCCCTGTCGCAACAACACAGGGGGGGGAAAACATTAATTTGGAAAAGATCGAAGAAACTACTTTTTCTTTTTTTTGTCACATTTTTTTTGTGGAAAAATTATTTTGCCTAAGCTTAATATTTCAAGAAAGTACAAGTAAGAATTTTGTAGGTTGGCTGTAAATACTTCTAAAAACATTTAGGATGTTTTAAATATTTACTCTTAAGAATGGGATCATTTCCAAATAGAAGTGACGGAGTGTCTGGGAAAAACTATTTTCGTAACATTACTGAAAATCAATTTAAAACTGTTAGTGGCATAGCAATCAATAATTCAGTTTTGAGATGATTTTACCAACTAACCTGTGCAAACTGCATGTTGAGTCTCATTTGCTCTGCCAACACGCTGACATTGTGGAAGAGGTGAGGCTGCATGTGACTCCACATGTGTGGAAACCACCAGAACTCATGCCGGTGCTGTAACAGCATGTCATCACCTTCATCCTCCTCCTCTGTACCTGCAAACACACATATACATACTGTTGAAGTTTAATAGTAAAGACATTTGGATCTTAAAATGGCTTAAGACACTAAAAATGTGTTTGTTTGTGCTTATAACAAAGATCCATTTTGGTTTTTTGTAAGTTGTGCAAATCTGATTGAAATCACTTTTCAGTCTCTGTTTGCACCAAATTTAGATTTTTCAAGGTTTCCATGAAAAAAAAAAAATGCAGGCCAACTCTTTTCAACATTGATAATAATAAGAAATGTAGAAGTACAACAAATCAACATTTAAATGATTTCTGAAGGATCACATGACACTGAAGACTGAAGAGTAATGGCTGTTGAAAATTCAGCTTTACCATCACATAATAACTTTAATAATACATATATTTTAAAATATAAAACAGCTATTTTAAAGTGTTTTTAGTGCATCTATTACCAATAAGTATAGCCTTGATGAGCAAACTAAGTGACTCTAAACCATTACAACAACAAAAAGATCTGTCCAAACTTATTTGTCCGATTAACAAAATCTCCTGTTAATTCTCCTGAAGTGTGAACAAATGCTAAAGAGTCTAAAAGACAACAAAAGAAGAAAGAAAATAAGTACCTGCATGGTAGAACTTTCCAGAGAAGCCAAGATTGAAGGTGAAGTTGGGAACTAGCGTCCGTAGTTTATTCTGTGTGTCGAGCAAAGCCTTGAAATTGAAGAAGAGTTATTACTTTAATAACATGCTTTCAAAGTCCTGCCTAAAATCTGTGGAATAAGATTAGCAATTTGCCAAGAACAACATCAACATCTGACGTTACCCTGAGCTGTGCTTGAAGGCAAAAACATCAACAGAGCTGTGCCGTTAAATGAATATCTGAGCTACATTACTCAAATGTATGAGCTTAAGTCACCAACAGATGGCAGTGTGGTGCCTATTCAGTCCTATGAAGAAAAGACTAACTTTCGGGCCATCGGCCAGATAGACAGAATGAGTGGGATGTGAAATATACATTTGCATTCAAATCTCCTCTACCCACGGGCAGGTCAGACGTGCCGAATGAAGCTGCAGCCTTAACATCAATCTAAACTCATCCGTGTGAAATGAACACATTTCATAACTTAGCATCACTGCGCACATCTAGCTAATGACGACGCTTTGAGGCTTGAAATACAAAATGATCCTGCCATCAAGCCCTTCAAACTCAGAGAGTGATACGAGGGTATAAGCGAATTACAGCACAAATCAGACGGCAGGGAGAGATAGTGACACTTTCCGCACAAATCTAACACAAAGCTGAGCCGATAGTCGCAGCAGTATCACAAATCAAATGAGCTGCTGGGGAGAGAAGGCTGCGGCTTCGCAATGAAGAGATGGCATCTTACGCTGATTTAAGAGCCGCCGGTGTCCCTGAGTATGTTTATCCAATATTTGAGTGTGTTTGCTCAGCATGTCAGCATAATCCTGCGGTTTTTATAGCAATCTGCAAGCTGCCCAACCAAGACTGCAGGGTGGTGTCCAGGGTGGATAAACAGTATAGTGTGAATTAATTTTGACGGTTTGATAAAGCAAAGTTAGTTCAAATAAAATTACGTTACCCTTTCCTTGATGATCAATAACTTTGATCAAAGTTACAACAGAGAAAGAGAAACAGTCAATATGGACAGGGGTCAGAACAAAGCTTTTGTCATCCCTTTTCGCCGCCATCACAATAGACTTAGCCCAGCACCGCAGCAACATTTTCATACCTGAATCCTATTTTCTTCCCATAGCCAGTCTGATTATCTCTAACAGACTCAAGATTGTTCTTAAGACAAGATCCATCTCCTGCAGACAGATTGACTGCATGTACAGCAATGTTGCATTCAGCAAAGGGATCACATTTGGACAGTGGACAAGGATAAAATCTTCATTCCATATAGATATTCTCTTCTCCCTGTAGAGCTGACGCAACTATTTATATAGCGCTTTTTATAATACAGATAGTTTCAAAGCTGCTTTACAGTGATAACAGGAAAATAATGCAACAAAAGTTTATTTGGGCTGTGCAGCAGATCTAGAAGAAAACAGCGCCATAGTCCAGTTCAGTGATGGTTCATTTTTGTTGCAAAAATGTTATTCATTTAGTTTAAAAAAGTATAAAAAATACATTGCTATTATTATACAGTAGTAATCAGGGACTAAACTTGACCAATTAAAAGTAAAAACAGGCTTTGAAGTGTAAGAAAGTTATCTATTGAACTACACAATTTTTCATGTCTTTATTTGTAAACTTGAATTTTAGATTCAAATAAAAATGCATTTAATAAATATGTATTTAATACATAAAAAAATACTATTTATTCTTGTTTTGTTTAAGTAGCACTCTATATTTCACTCTATATCACTGAACAATAACCAAACAACAGTTTATGTAAGTTTATTTTTTTTCTTTAGAATGCCATTTGCTGATACATGGAATATGACCCACATTAAGAGAACTAAATGAAAGAGGACACAATCAGTGTTTAAAAAAAAAAAATATATATATATATATATATATATATATATATATATATATAGGTGCTGTTTCACTGAAGACTGTCTCACCTTGTCCATTATGCTGTCAGTAACCCAATGATCTGTACGCTTTGTCACAAATATACAAGCTAAAACGCAGAAATAACCTGTGCATGTGGCCAAAAATGTCTAATACAATGCACATATTGTGTAGGGGAGAGCGGGGCACAACACTTTCTAACTTCCTCAGTTTGTGTAAATCTCCATGGGGTTCAGAGAATTTATTTGTCCCCACATTAATTTCAATTAAAAATTGCTCTAAGTGATGTCACACGTTTTTTATGCCCAAACATTTTTTGTCACATACAGCAAACACCTCCTCACTATCCACTAGCTGCCTGTCCCCTGAACACACAGCCCAGGCTCCACAAACGGCGATACTAAACAAAATCGGGGTTTTCCCCCCACCACTGATATAAACATACAAAAAAACCTATAGTAATATATAAAGTATTATTGCTTTTTAAAAATAAGTAAAGCAAAACACAGTTTCATGATAATTAAAAATGTAATTTGAAACAACAAAGCCAATCAGAACAAAGCTAATTATGTCCTCTGCACAGGAAGAAGAGCAGTAAACTGTGTGTACGTATGTGCATAAAGTATGCAATGTGTAGCGAGCGAGTAGGTGGAAATAAGCTGAAAAGCATGATATGGAGTAAGAATAGATGTGATTAGTCCACCATTAGACACAATTTTCTATGCAGCACCACTGGCTGAGGTGATTACAGCCCACTTGTTCAGCTTGAGGCCAGGTGGCATGGCATACATCACCATACAAAGCTGGCAAAACAACAACAACAACGTAAACACAACTCTGTGGGTGGATAATCTGTCTTACACACATATTCCTGAAAATTATTTATGCTATCTGTGGAAAATAGAAGAACACGGATGAACTAAAAACCATGTCCTTGCTCCAAGGTGTTGTCCCCAGTAACCATTATGATTAAGAATGACTGTAAAAGAAAAAACATTTGGAAATGAGATGCTACAATGATACACATTCTTTCACCAGTAAATAATAACTAACAGTGGTTAAAACAGGCTGGGTTTTAAGGAATGTTCAGGGCTAAATACAAGTTAAGCTCCATCAACAGCATCTGTGGCATGCTGTCAATTCCCACAAGTAATTGACTCATCCCACAGCTTGCAAAAACAAAACAATGAAAACATGTTGACAAAAATGCATTTACAATCGAAGTATATAGGGCAAAACAAAGCAATTGCTCCATAGAATTCTACTGTTAGTGCACATATGCTGTTGTTAGAGAATACCTTGCATGCAGTGGTTTTTATACCGAGGTACAGGATGGATAAACTTTTAGATACGTTTATATTAAATATACGTTAACATTTTCTGCAAATGAAGTTGCAGGCATGCATCACAATATTAGTTTATGAGCGCAAAAAACAAACTAACAAACAAAAAAAGGCCAATAAGAAGCAAAAGGGTGAGATATTATTTGATTAGACTTAAACATTATTTTTATGAGGACAAGCTTAAAGAGTCAAAATTTTACTAAGGTAGGTTTAATATAGAGCGTATGCATTGATGTCCCTTTCCCACTGGAACACGCAACCTCAGACTGAGTGGCAAAAGAGCTGCTACGTGACTGGATTTAATAGGGGAAACTGCAAAAACGACTATCAGTTTAAACTAAAGGTTTGACTTGATATCCTTACAACTTACCAAAGATCCAGTGATCGATGACGGATATTGACATGCAACCAGAAATCATGCTTCAATCATTTACGAAGCATGATTTCTGATTTCGACGTCGGGGAAATACATAAAGCAAATTTGCCTGTGAACGCTTTATATAAATACAATATATACTGTAGGTAGGTCTAAATGCTTGTATCGATGTTATAGATAATCATATCGTCCAGCCCTAAAAGTTGTATATTTTTTCTCAGTGTTTATTCAAAAACATCCAATTATGCAGAATAAACGGTGGTAAATATTTAATTGATAATTTGTCAATACAACATATAACAATACAATATGAAGAGTTCAGATGCAAAAGCCTCTAAATGCCATTTGAAATTTTCTTCTTTAATGATGATTTTTATCAAACTTGTATTCATTCATTCATTCATTCATTCATTCAACTTTATTTGTCCCCAGGGGGAAATTTGAAGGCACATTACAGTAGCTTACATAAGCACATTGCACAACCAACACTACACAGCACATATCATTAAAAAACTAAAACCTGAAGACTTAAACTTGTATATTTAAGTTTAGTAATTTCACTTAAATAACAATTAATAGGTAATTATCATTGCCATTTAAGTGAAATCACTGAACTTAAATATACAAGCTTGATAAAAATTATCATTCTAGAAGAAAATTTCAAATGGCACTTAGAGGCTTTTGCATCTGAACTTTTCATATATAGGCTATGATTTTACTATTAATTTCAGCATATTGACACAAAAAGATCAATGCAAATCCACCTTTTGCTGCCAGGAGTCCAGTCGTTTCTATGAATTGCAGTGATCCATTTGTTTCTCTGTTCTGTAGCTTTTGGCAGTCTGTAAAAATGTACCTCAGATTTCTTGTCAAATCTAGTCACTAAGCTCTTTTCATTTGCCAGATGCGTTTTTGAGTGTTTTTCAAGAAATTCACACTGAAAACAAATGCTGCCGCTCAGTCTTTTTTTCACTCAGTGGAAGTAACCGCAGTCACTCTGGCCGATGGTGACGTCACACTCTATTTGCAAGGTATGAACATGATTCACAACCCATATTATATAATGTGACAGACTTAGCAGAAACTTAAAGGAATAGTTCAGCTAAACATTCAATTTCTGTAATCATCACAGTCATTCCAAACCCTTGTAAATCTGGAGCCTGACCGCAACAAGTGCTTTTACATTCATTATATGGAACAGTGGTCATATCATTGTTTACAATGAAAGTAAGTCATGCAAATTTGGAATGACATGAGGTAGAGTAAGTAATGACAGAAATAGTGATATAATTCTTGTGTTTGTGCATAAGCTATTCCTCAAACAGAAAATTGTATATTTTATATCAATGCTGATAAAAATCTACTTTTGTTCATGACGTCACTGATATCCATTTGCCGTTTTAGCACATACAATTTAAAATCGTCAAAAATCAATCATCAATGTAGTTTTCTCCACATCCCTTGCATATGAAACTAAAAACTAAAGCTAACTTGGTAAAATAACATTTATGGTGAGCACATTAACTGCCTGACTGACTCAGATGTTTCTGCTAAATAACATCTTCATGTTGTCAATGCAAATGAGACATTAATTGACATATTTCTTAACAGAGCTGTTAATTTACTTTGACTATCTTCAAAGAGGATGACCTCCAGGTGGTGTTTCTTTTTGCAAGTGTATACTACACATTTATGGCTCATGAGGGTGTAACGACCACAGTCAGCAGTGTGGTTTGCATATTATGGAAGGCTGAAAGCTTCAACACAACCTGATGATGAGAACTGGGAGGGATTCATAAGCCTGTGTAATCAGCCCCTTTGGCAAAGCCGCTAATAAATAGGAGGTTAATAGGCACATTGTCCAAACAGAGCAATTATCCCTTGCTCTAACAAGCACATTATTTTGAGTACTAGCTGTTAGCCTCTCCATGACACTACAGTGCTCAAAATATCATCTGTGTAGATTGTGTACCATGTTATCAGTTAGCAAATACATTGTTACCCATTTCGAGAACATACATTTTGCTTGTTACGTCAATAGCTAAGATGATGAGTTTGAGAGAACAATGTGAATGCTCACAGTTAAATAACATTGAGCAGCCTAAGAACTTTTAAAGAGATGGTTCACCCTAAAATAAAAATTCAGTCATCACTTAACTCACCCTGATGTCATTCCAAACCAGAGAGAAAAAAAGAAAGTCTTTTAAAATATCATTGCAGTAAGTAAATGACAGAATTTTTGGGGTAAATTATCCCTTTAACAAAGATAGTCACGTACCTTCACATCCGTCACCTTCATCCGCGTCCCCTCCTTTCCCACAAATATATCATCCACGTCAACTAGCAGATGCCTCTCCAAGGACAGGCAGAGTCTTTTTCCTGTCAGATAGGATATGGCATCCACAAAAATCAACTTGTGCAACCAAAATGACAGATTGTTGCCAAAAAGCACTCTCTGAATGCCATCGTGGAGGCCAAGGTCCTGAACTATAGTGGCATGAAGGGCTCGGTGGGGGCCCAGGTGGGCCAGTGCTTCTGAGGACTTTGTGACGGCCAGAAGCACAGGCTCGTAGGTGCTGTGGTTAGACTGAAAGACCGTCCAGTCATCACCAGGAAGTGGGCCCTGCTCCACCTCATTGGGTTTAGTAATGTACAGTAATGGGGCAGCTGGGTTGATGTGGTAATCCTGTAGGCCCAGGTTAGAGTGCAGGAAAAGTGGAAAGCCCTTCAGCTGGGCACTGAGCAAGGAGTTCTCATTGGCTTTGAAAAAGCCAATGATGCCCACGCCAAATTCTGCGCAATATTTATCCAGCAGGTCACGATTCCAAGCATCTAAGTTGACATACTTGAGAATGTTCTCATAAATGACCAGGGCATAGCGACCAACATCACGCTCCATCAATGTAGGCATGTCGCCTTTGCTGGGTGCGATCTCAATGTGGTAACGGAAGCGGCTGGACTCGAGGATAGCTACAATTTCTTGTCCGAGTTGAGAGTAAATGCTCTCCACAAAGACAAGCACCACAGGTTCCGTTCGAGAGTTATCCACCACTTTAACCGTCCTCTGCCTGCCTGTGAATGTTGGCAGGAAAAGAGGAGCCCGTTGCCCTCCTGCTGCGGCCGCGACAACTCCACCACAGTCACTGAAGGGCAAAGGGGGCGCCTCTTTAATTTTAGGACTGTTGCTGACATAGTAGGCCAGGAAAGCCATGGAAAGCAGGCAAAAGACGATGAGCGCCAGGATGAGGCGGTGGAGCTCGAGTTGCCTGACGCCCCGCACTAACTTCCACAGCCCCATGGCCACAATGCGAAAGCGGGACCGGGGAAGGGAGGGGGGCAGAGGGGAGGCTGAGAGGATGACTGTTGCAATGTTTGCAGCAAGAGTAAGACAACAGAGAGGAAAAGAGGAGGAAGAAGGAAAAAGGTTGAGCAGCAGACACCGGCACAAGCTTTGGGTCAAGAGTAGCCATTTATGCTAGGTCACCATGGCCCCCATAGTCCATGAGGTGTGTCTCCACTTTGATTGCTGCCTCTAGCCCCAGTCCTTCAATGAGGTCAACACGCACTTTCACCCCCACCACGTGTTCCCTGAGTGCACTCACTCTTGGCTGGCGTCTTGGGATAAGAGGATTGGGTTTCTTGATCTCTCTCGACACTCCACCACCACTCGACAAAGGATCAGCTGTCTAACCACTGACTTCTTTTGTGTTGCTGTGCACTAAACTTTCAAATAAGCATGTGCTTCTCGGTGTAGAGTGCTCTTTTGTATATTTTGGAGAGCTTCGAGGCCGGTGCTCCACTTGCCCCACTGGCCTCAGCAGCAAGTACTCTGAGGGTGTTCACCACTAGGGCAGGATGATGAACATGGCCCCCAGTAGAGGCCCAGCACGGAAAGTACATTCACCATTGAGTCAGAACCTAAAACGGAGAGAGAGGAGAGATTCAGTCAGTTCAAACATCATCAAACACCTTGAAAGAGTGCATGAAACAGGGGAAGCAAGCAGATCTTAAGCCTAGTGAATGACCAAATGCTGCATCACTCTTTATATTTCCAAGTGGCCATTTGATTTTACTATTAGTGTGACTGTTTATGCGGATCACTACATTACCATGGAGTCTTTTTTTTCACTCATGACTCCTAAAATAGTCTTGGATCTCTTGTCCTCCAGTAAGATAGCGTTACGGGTGGGATAAAAGAATCACTGACTTTGTGGATATAAGAGACCTTATGGTCACAAACCTTAAACAGTACACTAATTAGAGCATGGGAAGGTTGAGAATATTTGAAATATTCTCCGTAGGAGAGAACAAGTCAACAGTTAGATTGAGTTTCAAGGTGCTTGAGACGGAAATCATCGGATTCAGAGCACATTTTCTCGATCCTCTCACTACCAAGAGAGGCTTTGTCAGCCTAGAGCCAGCTATCAGTCTCTGACATGATCAATGCAAGCCATGCTGTAACTATAAATCAGGGCTGGCACTTAAAGGATCATTTTCCCACACACGGACAAGCATGGCCTGTGCTTTGGTCAAAGGCACCTTGTCTAGGACAGATGATAAGCTATAAAGAGAGAGAAATAAATGAAATGAGAAACAGCATAAGGAATGACACTAGACACTGGAAAAGCAAAACTTTACTTCCACCCTCAAAGCTAATAATTAATTCAGAGAACTGTAATTTGGTAATTCACCTGTCTGAGAGATGGCAAAGAATAATTACAAAGAAAAAAAGAGAATGGCAGCAAAGTGCTCCGCTGTATTATATTGACCAAACTCATAATGTACTCTACAGAAGAACACATCCTGATACGGAAACCTAGTTTATTATTAGCCTAGGAGCGCTCGAACCTCACTGACCAGTTCTACATTAGTTCAAAACATATACACACAAGCAAATACAAGAACACAAACAGCAGGTTTCCATCACAACACATTGCAATTCATGAGATCATTAAGATACATTCAGATCAGTTTATCTAATTCAACATTTTATTATCAGTACGGTAAAGCAACAGGAGGAGAGAGAGTGGGGACGGCCGCCCTGAATCATTGAGTAGAATGGTTTCACATGGCATGTGCTGCTAAAGCCAGGATGAGAGAACTACTGAGCATTTCTCATCTCAGGAGAATAGCTTTCACATTTGAGTCAGAGAATGCAATCATAAACTATTCAAAGCTGAACTCGACCAGAAAATGATCAGGATGGCCATGCATATCTTGTGTTTATTACACTACTCTCGTCAGGAAACAAACATGTTTACAGAGTAATGATACACATGAGCACAGGAGGAAATAAGATGGGGGGAGTGTGACTAAGGGAGGAAATAAGATGCAAAGGAAGAGAAAACAAGAACAAGAAAGAATAAAAGATGGCCAAGGTTTCCAAATTAATAAGAAATGTTTCTTGAGCACCAAATTTATGTATCAGAATGATTTCTGAAGGATCACATAACACTGAAGACTGGAGTAATGGCTGCTGAAAATTCAGCTTTCCCATAACAGGAAGAAATTATATATTCTAAAATATATTAAAATAGTTTACTGATTTTTAATAATATTTCACAATATAAATTGCTACTCCTTTTGAGATTAAATGCAGCCTTGGCAAGCATAAAATAGTCATTTCAAAAGCACAGAAACATTAAATTATTCCAAACTACCTATCAAAAATATTCAATTTTGTAATAATTAAAAATGTGTATACAGCCAAAGTTTACAACGGAGTAATTCTCAATCGCATAAGAGGCCCGGTCGATAAACTGCTTAGAAAACAACATATCCTGATATGTTGTGATCCTCTCATATCCTGATATAAAATTTTGGTTTTGTCCACCCCTACCGAAAGTGAAGCAAAATCACATTTGTGTGTCCTGTCAAGGTTGATTATGACAAACTGGGATTTACATGAAAAAGATGGGAATAATCAATCATATAATGGCATTTCACCTGGTTAGAACAGTGTGTTAAGTGTACATCGTAAGATTAACAACCAGGAGGGAACTAGTCCCTGTGGTGTTGCATAAATTATCCCTCAAGGCTGCCATGCCTCACATGACCAGTATGACCTCTGATCCCCTAACCCTCACTGGCTGAGCTTTTATGAGGACCATGTGGGGGTCTCGGGTTTTCATCACTTCAGTTTCTTTCCGCTTTAACCAAATTACACCAGAACAATTTAATTTTTTGAGCTGTCAAGATACTGGAAAATCCTGTATCTTGACCGCTAACAGAAATCAGATATAAACTCAAACCAGCAGCTGTGAAGTAAATGCATTAGCACTACTTTACTTTGTCTATACCAAACTACATTTTAAAATGTTCACAAAAAATAAATAAATAAATAAATAAATTAATAAATATATCTAAAAATATAAAAATAAAAATATCTTTGCTTGTGGTTGCCAAGTGTTTTTCAAGTAGCTTTTTAACATATTGCTATGTGGTTGCTAGGGTGTTTGCCTAATGACCCAAGTCAAAAGAGTCCTCCTCAAAGTCCTCTATTATGTTGTGCTCCAACATAAACATATCTTCAAAGGATGTCTATGTGATTTATTCACCCATATTACCATCAGTCTGCTGTCTTAGAATAGTGCAACTCTAGAAAAGTGCAACAGTGTGATTTGAGGTTTCATTTTTTTCCTTAGCACAAATGGTGTGGGACACTTTACACATCAAATTTTAATATGTGTGGTTAGGGGTCCGTTTCAACCTCTAACCCCAACTATGTGCAAATAGTGATGCTTGCCTTGGCAAACAGCCCTAATTAGCCTACAGGAGCCATGGTGCAGTAAAAAAGTGACCAGCAGGGGGCTTCCACACACAATGGGCATAGAATGAAGGTTTCTGGGTAAAGTAAAGGAGGGGGCTATCATTAGGCCCCAAGGTCATATAGTATTTGAACCACAGGTGAGCAGGCCTCTGGGCATCTCGCCTGTACAAACAAACAAATAAACACAAACACACTCTTGCAAGAATACCAGACCGCTTCAATCAATACTAAGTATAAAAAAGAGCACTTTAAACTCCTACTATGTGTGGAGAAATTTAATGAGCCTGCAGCTTACCTGCTACATCCAATTAAAAAAAATAAATAAAATAAAATATATATATATATATATATACATATATATATATACACAGACACACACACACACACATATATATACAATAACAAAACGATTCAATAGCAAAAAAAATACAATCTTCAGATGGATTCAATCCTGTGGGGCAATTAACATGCAAATTATTTATAGAATTTACAAGCTGTGGGGGACGGTTGAAAAAACAGCTCAGCTTATTTTTATCAAAGGAAATGTTTTAAACCAGCTGGAGAGTGTGGCTTAATCTGAGCTATAATTTTGAATCCCTGAATTCGAGAAGACAAAGGCAGGGGTGACAAACTCAATGCTTGCATGAACCACAAATGTTTGGGACAAAGAGATGAAGGGGGACCAAGTGAGGACCCTCTCCTCAGCCTCTGTGCCCCAGCAACCCTAGGGTCAAGCCCTCACTACCCAAACACCACAATGCTGACCGTCAAATTCCACAGGCCGCTGCCCCCCTCCGATTATTCACCATGAATAACACACCAAATAGACTCAACTCTAGTGCATGAAACACATACCGAACAAAAACCAAAGAAGAAAGGATACAACAATCACAACCATTTGTCTTTGTGGCATTTCTGATTTCAGCTGAGAAGGGGAAAAACAAACTAAAAGTCAGTTCCATTTTAATCTTCCTGCGAGCTGAACTCTGTCTATCAAGTCTGTGAATTTACTGTATTTTAGTGTGGACGGAGATAAAAGAGCTTTGCTGCTTTTCATCCCATTCAGACATCAATTGGGCATGTGAAGTGCGGCTAAACTACGTCTTTAAAGTGTTTATTTTACCCATCCATTTCTCAGAGTGCTATGTGAGAATGAGGGCAGCGGTGCTGATAAAGCTCTGCTTGTGTTTGGCTTTTGAGAACACCAGCTTCTCTCTTTCTGCCTCTCTGAAAATAGTGCAAAAACAGAATGAATAATGAGTGACTGAAAAGGAATTAGCCAAACTAAGCTGATTTACTGATGTGAGTTGCATGCTGAAGAGCTCTGGCAGGATTCACTGTCACTGGCCGCTGATAATTCTTGCAGTGCAGTCTGTTAATTGTGGGATTACAGGACAGCAATTAACGAGCCAGACTTAACTGGAGAGGACAAACAGACTAAATAACTAACACAACTGGGACAAGCTTAAATCAGCAGTCTCCAAATCTGGGTTACAGTTTTTTAAAAGAGCTACCATCTTAGGATAAGATGCAACGTTCTATGGTGACAGCAAGACAAAAGCGATACAAGAGTGGGTGAAATGATGTAGTGAGTCTGCTAACTCGCTGTTATACCTGATGATTTTGCCTGACTTTTGCTTTTGGACATTTATTCAAAATTTTCATTGCAAGTGTTGCTCATGCAGTCTACCACAAAAACTGATCAAACATTTTTTGGAGATTACAGGCTGTTTTTTTCACCTCTTCAGCGAAGCTCACGCATAACCAGATCCGGAGTGAAGAAGCTGTGCTGTGTCTGGGAAATAGCTGAAGCCGCTGGCCTTCATCTCGCCGCTGTCAGTCGCCGTACCTGCAACGCTTTCCGGCATTTATATCCTTTTACTCTGCCAAGTGTGTGTGTTCGCCGCTGCGACTCACACTCTCTCTATCTAAAAGAGCAACATCTTTTTAAAAATGCCTCGTTCCTGTGGCTTCCACCAGCTATAGTGCTGCGCCGTAAAAAACGCTGTACTCAAACGGGTCCCCGAGCCTTCTCCAGCCCACCAGCTTCACTCAAGTCGCTCAATAACGGACAAAGACCGCCGTCCGCCACCACTTCCGCCATTAATGACGTCGAGATAGCTGCATCTGTAGAGGAGGTCAGCTGCTC